TTATGTCTGTTTATAGAATTAAAGAGAAAGTATTATCACATAAAACGAAGCAACTTAAACAACTTACATTGAAAGAAATGTTTAATAAAATAAATAAATATTAAGCTTTTTTTTTTTTTTTTTTTGTAAATTTTGATACCCTTAAGATCATAATTGTTCTTTATTTCATAAATTACGGTTTCATATTTTTAATTTTAGAATTTCTGCATGCCATCTTACGAAATTTAAACTGATGATCTATAATCCGGAAAAATCGATAATCCGGAATCGCCGACGTCCCGACGAGTCCGGATTAACGACTTTTGACTGTATTCAGCTTTTTAACACCACTGAATCTCTGCTTCTAACAGATCATAATATGAGAAGGAAAAATCACATCACATAAGGTATCCATAGGTCACTGGTTATTTAATATTCTAAATTAAACGCTAAAATAATTTAAGGCCACTGTCTTCAGATTGTTGTACAACTTAAGGTCACTGCCTCCACAGTAACAAGAAAATGATACACTGTCCAAACTACACTCCAAGCTTAAGAAGCTCGGAATATCTTGAATAATGTTTAGTTCTCCGGCATAAGGGCACAACACGCTGATTCAGTAGCAGATAACATAAGAAAAACTAAGTTCACCTTTTCAGAACAGAAAAACTTCTGAGGAAAGACCTTTCATCTCTAACAGCTTGCGAGATAAAAATTAATTGAATTATTAATTTTTTAATTAATTCTCCTAACATGAACTAACATGCATGACTTCTTGAGGTCACATTTAATCCATGCTAAATAAAAGCTGGAAAGCAATCTCCAAAATGTAATAACAGGTATATGCCAAATTTGATGATATCATTGTTAGATAATGATTTTAATTTGATAGCTCATTTTTTAATAATGTGAATCAATGGGATTGTGGTATATTATGGGATTTCTCTCACGTGTATCTTTTTAATGTTATTTGCTATCATGTGTATGTGAACATAGCTGGACTGCAATGCTGAATGTATAAATACAGCGTTTTATTTAAGCGAAAACTGGTTGCTGCGCACGTGGGATTTAATAACTAAATTTTGTATTTTAAACTGTGTATTTTAAGTGTACTTTCTTTTTACATGTTGATAAGGTTAGCCAACTTATGATAAATATTGATAATTTGGTGATTTTTAAAAGAAACTGACAATTTTCACTCAGTAATTTTAAAAGTACCATTTTACAATATAATGTTCCGAACATACAATCTCCAACTGTTAAAAAGTGACAGCATAAATAAGATTATGAAAATGGTTACTGTATGAGCAAAGTAAGTATTCAATAGTGGAAAAATAAGAATTGCCCCTTTAAAAGTAAGCCTAAACCTCAGTTGGATAACTTGCTAAGTATGTAAGATACTTTATGTTAATTCAGCAATTTTTATAATCTGAGGCTTTAACATTCCCTTCTTCTTAGCCTTCACTAGGAAGCAAATTAGAATGAAGACTATTTAAGAAGAGGGTTTTTGAATGCTTTTGGCAACAATGCTTCACAAATTTTTCTACCACCTACCTCTGCCAGTCAATACTCCGGCTTTAACCATTTTGTTAGGTGAAGTAAAAATGTGTTATTAAAGGTTTGAGCTCGTTTAATTAGGCAAAAGTTGTATAGTCTCCAGCTAAGATACTTTTATATTGTAAATTGAATGCTATGTTATATTAAATATTCATAAGTGGTAGAGTTATGTTTGCAAGCACAAGAGATGCCTTGTATTTAAATTCAAGCCTAAATATAAGCATTATTTAAAACCTTCATAAGATTTTGTTGCCAATTCAGATGAAGTGGTAATTTGCTTGTCCTTCTAATAAAGTCTATAAAGAACTTTGAGTTAATATTATGCAATTATTCTATAAGTATATTTTTATAACTGCAAAATTTTGAGACAGAAATATATTAAATAGCTATAACTGAACACATACAAGTAATTAAGTAGCTATAACTGAATACATATTAAATAGCTATAATTGAAATTCAATCTTGTACAATAAATGTGTAAATTGATCTAAGCAGTGGGTTGCAACAAACAAGTTACTATGTGAATATAAGCTAGGAAAGGACATTTTCTTTTTAAATCATCTCCCCCCGTCAGGTCATGTGAAAATAGAGTGCGTAAGTTTATTTCTCTTATTTTCAATATGGATCCTGCTTTTTCTCCATGTAGGCTAAGAACACTCATATTTCACATCTCACTTTGCACCTAGATGATGCTACAAGTTTATATCATTGTAAGGGTTGCTTCTGTAGCCAAAGAATATTATAATATTCATACAGTCAAAAGTCGTTAATTCAGACCTCAAAGCTACAAACTTTCTGCGCATGCGTCAGCATGTGCACATAATATGTTTACACTTGCACGTTTAATGTATAACGGACGGTATAAGATAAGCTAAAATTATCTAATTCAGTTAATGTTGCAGATTGCGTTGTTCCTTAATCTTCGAATTGGATCCGGCTTATTATTTTTTGCAGACTGTTAGAGCAATTTTATAAAAGTAAGCTTGAACTTTCGATTATGTCAAACAGAATTTTTGATATATATTTACTAATATGTAAAGGATCTACAAAGCAAGAGTATGTTTCGAAGTCCGTTAAAGAAAAAGTGGAATTGCTGCAAAAAATGGATAAAGGCATATCCTTCATTTTGCTAACCATTCCGAAATCTGTTTATCAAATTCACGCTGCTCTGTGGCGCGGGGGGGGGGGGGGGGGATGCCGCGGCTCGCAATGAATTGGAAGTTAATCTGTCAGCATTATCCTTATCTTCAGGGCAGATGTTCTTATTTTATTTCGCTTATAATTCCTTACTAAATGTAGTATTTCATCTTGGTGTACTCCGTCTTTGATATGATTTAAATAAAATTCCTCGTCATTATAATTCGCTTCCGATAAAGAAGAAAGTGACACAGTGGTTATTGAAAACGAAAAAATTTCAATTGACAAATTAGTCGGTATTCTTGACACAGCAATTATAGAACTTGAACAGCGGAACTTTGTAACTGAAGAAGAAATTATGTCTGTTTATAGAATTAAAGAGAAAGTATTATCACATAAAACGAAGCAACTTAAACAACTTACATTGAAAGAAATGTTTAATAAAGTAAACAAATAAATATTAAGCTTTTTTTTTTTGTAAATTTTGATACCCTTTAGATCATAATTGTTCTTTTTTTCATAAATTACGATTTCATAATTTCTGCATGCCATCTTACCAGATTTAAACTGATGATGTATAATCTGGAATCGCCGAAGTCCCGACGAGTCCGGATTAATGACTTTTGACTGTATTTCAGATCTCATTTTGCACCTAGATGGCGCTACAGGTTTATATCATTGCAAGGGTTGCTTCTTTCATTCTTGGTGGGAACTGTCTTTATATGTCTTTGTGGAACCACAATTTTTGGTTTATAAATAATAATAATGTAATAAGTACACGTAATATTATTAGTAATACAAATTAATTAGCATGTAGTTCAATTTATACTCTTGCAATTCATAACTTGTAAAATATTTAAATACATCTTAAAACTATTCGATGTGGTATATTTTAGCACACATGAGAATTTTCGTTTTGAATTACGTGCATATCCACTCAATTTTATATTTCCAAAAATAATCAACTATTAATTGTCAATTTCTTTTTGCCGTTGTTAAACTTTTAAAAATGTATACAATATTTGTATGCAGTACATTGCACTGTAGTTTGAGTTCCTAATTCTCGTATTAAATTCTTAAAAAGGTATGAATAATTCGCATTCATTATGGATATTTGTTTCTAAAATTAAAATATATAATTCTTTTTCAGATGGCACCCATGCCACTGAAAAAACAAGCAGAACATAAAAAAAAAAAAAAAAAAAAAAAAAAAAAAAAATTTGAAGATGGAAAAACAGTTTTTAATGAAAACTGGATGGAGAAATACTTTTGATCATATGCACTAAATACCACGTTTATGTGGCTTACCTCCATGTGTTTTTAATATCTCATAACCGCATGCTGATCATTCCCGGCTTCATTCAACCGTTGGTGAACTTAATGAGTAAGACTGCAATGGTGCCAAAGGGTTCTTTGCAGATGAAATCCCAATTTTAATTTCCATTTGTTAAAAAAATATTGTACTCGTGGCCCCGCAATTTTTTTTTTTTTCTTTACAATGCGGCCCTCAAACGATCATAGTTTAGACACCTGTGCTTTATACATTTTCATTCTAAGTAGTACACAACCTTTATTTAATGATCTGTGGTGTTCAACATTGTTACACTATTAAGTAACTTCTACAGAAGATATAATAAAATATTAAAATATTTTTTAAATTTAATTATGTGGTGCTTTGTCTTTTCTTTAACATCTTAGTTTTTTAAACTAGCTAAAGATTTTAAAGTCTGATTAGTTCAATCACTAATGAAAATAATACAATTAAAATTATGAAAGGGTAAATAAACTGATATTTACAGCATTACAGATATATTCTAAATCACCAAACTATATTCTAATCACCATGCATACATATTCAATATCTGAATCCTATTAGCCATTTAATAATGCAAGAAGTATTTTTCCCAAATAGCATCCAACATATTTATAATCAACATAAATTCATTCAAAAATCAGCAACATTTGCTACATATATGCTTTGTGACTAAGTTAAGATTATTACCCATATGAATTATTTATTACTTTTCATCAAAATTCATAAATATACGTTTAACAACAATTAGTAAAATATAATTCAGCTATCAATTTAAATATCTCATTTTCCTTTTATAGGAAGTACATAAGATATATCAAAGTTAACGCATAACATTATTTTGTTATGTTACAAAAGCTAAACACACACTATCTATTTACAAAACACTTTCAAAGTAGAGTGTGAATATATGATAACCAAATACTGTCAAAATCAAACTGACGTGCTAGAATTTTGTTTAGTATTTAAATCTTTAATTTGAAGCAGAATGCACAAAGAAATAAAATTTATCAAAACAAGTACAAAACAAACTTTTATTATGTCCACGCAATAACATAAGCAATTAGAACATACCTATGTACAGTTTCTGCTTCAAAAAGACACAGATGAAAAATTATGCTTTACTCATTTTAGGTATGCAGAACTCTCAATAAATATTATAAACATTTTTTTAACCCAAAGTCAAAATACTTGATTATCAATCAAACTGTCTAACATTAAATGTCTTCTGCTGATTAAAAAACATAAGAGTTCAGAAAAAAACTTCAATACGTTTCATTCAATCTGCAATTAGAAGTAAAGTATTAAATGTTTTAAAATACATTAATTCAAACTTAGAACTAAACAGTCTCAAAGATGAGTTAATTCATGCTTTTCTAATTTCTCTTCTCGTACGAATTTCTTAGGACAATGCAAACAATAAAAATATTTGGTTTTCTCTTTTAAATGAGTTGTATAATGACGCTTAAGATTACTTTTCTGCGTGAAGCCCCGGGAACATATCTCACATACATGCTTCTCTCCAGTATGAATAAGTCTATGTACTTGGAAAGTATAATTGTCAGCATAACTTTTCCCACAAATATCGCAGGCGAAAGGTTTTTCAGCAGAGTGTAGAATGTAGTGCCTTTTTAAATTTGACTTCTGCGTAAATCCTTGAAAGCAGATATCACAAATATACTTTTCTCCAGTGTGTATGGCTAGGTGGGTTTCTAAAGTATATTTATCGGTAAATCGCTTGCCACATAATCCACATCCATGAGGTCTGAATTCCGAATGATTCGTGTAATGCCTTTTCAGATTTGATTTCTGCGTAAATTCTCTGTAACAAATGTCGCATACATGCTTCTGCCCAGTGTGAATTAACTGATGAACTTGAAACGTATACTTGTCGGCGAAACCCTTTTGACAAATTTCACAATTATATGGCTTTTCAGTACTGTGAATTAATCTATGCCTTTGAAGATTACTCTTGTTAGCAAAACCTCTAAGACAAACTTCACAAACATATGGCTTAACACCAGAATGTATAAGATAATGTTCTTGAAATTTCTCTTCAGTACTAAAGCGTTTTTCGCACAATTCACAAACAATTGACTTTTCACGAGCACTACTCCGTTTTTTATTTTCTTTCATACAAACCTCGTTTTCAGACATGTCATACTATATTACTGCCACCCAACTAAATTTCACAAAAAACACTGTACTTAGTTTTTTTTACAAATAAAACACAAAGTAAAGTTACTATCAATACAAATTCAATATTCAACACAACATAAACAAACTATTTTACATCAAAACTTTTAATCGCTAAGCCTGATTTCAATTCAGTTCAGGCTTAAATCAAATGTTGCCAGATTCTTTGAAATTTTGTTTTCTCTGAAAATGGCCTCTGTGCAAAATTATAATGACTTCTTAAAATAAATTTCAGGGGCAATAATTAGATTTGTGATTTTTAGATTTTGAAACTACAGTATTTTTGACCATTTCATGAATTTGCATATGATAACTGTTAAAAAAATTGCATTTCAATATGGTATTATTTTCACTGTTAAAAATTTAAAAAATTGTAAAATTTACTGGTCAAAAATGTTGTAAATAGATATTATTAATAAAGATTGATTTATATTTACAGAATAATTTTTTAGTTTGTAGCCGTTGACATGAGTATTTTCTAGTTTTTAGATTGTTGGCATCACGAAATTGTAAACTCTCCAACTCAACAGGGAAACGCAAACCAAACCAGCTTTAACGGTTGTAAAGTTGTTGAGATTTTTCAATTAAGATGCGAAATACACCTTAACAAAAATTTAGGTCTTAATAATATCACTTACTTTATTTTGTACTGAGGCAAATTTATTTTGAAATGGGTAGGCTAATAACATATGACAACATTGTTCAAGAGCAATTAAATAAAATATATAAGGATAAAATCCCTCTAACTGGTTTGATCATTGGTCAGGTAAATAAGTTGCAGTGATAATTTCTAAGGATATATTTATTCGATTATTTCTATAGGTGCATGCATACATATATTGGATATCATAGAATTTTATTTCGCTGTAAGAATCTGATGAAATTAGATACTGGTATTTTTTTCCCGTTGCTGGGCGGCAGTAATAGGTTTTTTTAAAATCACTTAACATTGAATATGTTTAAATTTTATGGGATAAATACGTATAATTTTATCTGTATAAGGCCGCATCTTAAATATTGATTTAGCTGATTTTACAAACTAAAAAAATTATGATAAATTGAAGGAAATTTAAATGCTAGTAAATTTGTTGCCCATTTCTTTGTGAGCTAAGTGTGACTTATTTATTGCAAAAACCCAAACTGGTATAAAATATTTGTACCCGTCAACCTTGAAATTGCACAGGAAGATTTAGCACCAGTTATAAATGAGAATGATGTAACAGTACATTTATAATATCTGTACATATGTTTGATGAAACTCTGATTTTCAGTAATCCAGGTTTTGTTTTTATGGACAAGGATATCAGTTAACTGTTATTGCTATATTTTTCTTTGCTTTAAAAAAAATTATTAAAATTTGGGACCTGTTTCTGTAGAACAACAGTCAGTGGAATGTTTTCAAAGTTATGGGATCCTGCCATCAAAAAAGTGTGTATTATTAGACATAATATGGTCAGCTGAATATTGCTTACAAAACAATAGATTGGAACAATTACCTGCATAGAGTTTTAAACAGATCTTCCAGTAATTTTGGAGATCCTAACTAGTAGAGATCGATGAAAGTCTTTTTAAGAAATGCTCAAATGAAATGGGTCAAATACTGATTGTTTATTAAATAAAGAGATTCCAGTTCCTTTGAAATTCCAATAAAACAACTGACGCAACTGTGGCAGGTTTTCGGCTACTTTCACAGTCTCCTGGTAACCAATTTCTTTGATTAACAGGATAATACATAAGTACTAAAATGCTTTCCAAAAGTGTTCAGAATGTATTAAATAGCAGATCAAATGTGATGTGTGAATATGTATGTGTTTGAAATATGCTTGCAGGGGCGTAGCTAGGGTGGGGCAAGGGGGGACATCTGTCTCCAAGTGCAGCATCCATTGGGTACAAAACTGATGTTACAAAATTTTAAAATGAAATGTTTTTCATTCTTGGCATACAGAAGAGGGCACAAAATCTTCAGTTGTCACCGGGTGCTGAAAACCCTAGCTACGATTCTGTATGCTTGGAATTTTATTTAGTACTAAAGTAGTAAAAATGAATGATATATGTACATATCTCCCCATCAAGAATGAAAACCGTTGAAAATTCTGCCAAATGGATAATGAAGCAGTTGAGGTATGACATAGATTTGTGTTTGATCAATGAAACTCGGACTTCACTTTGCTTATATGCCTTTATTCTGAATTGGATATCAAGTCAAACTGTCAACAAATGCTTTAACTCCTTTTGCTCGATAACACAAACTATCCCAGATGACTTCATCTATTTCTTCTGCAGAAGTTGTGCTAATTCTTCCTAGCAGCCAAATTTAATTGTTAGCTATTTGATAAAAATATTATTCTAATAATTTAAGTTTTAGAAAGAGATAGTGGATATGTGTATTCAAGATCATGTATCTGTAACCCCTATGCATGGTATGGAGTTAAATATATATCAATTTCATTATTATCATATCTAATTGTATTAAAAAAGGCATAACTGGCTGTGAAATTAATCCGTATAACCATTGTGAACTCTTAGAACAGTGTTCCCCAAAATAAGCATGTATTATTTGTCACAAAGGACCCACTTGTATATAGCTGCTTTGAAAAGAGAAGGCTTGCAAGAAAATAATGGTACTTACTTATTTTGTTGTCAACCATCTCAGAAAATAAAAATAGTAGTGAAACAGTGCAATATGACACCAATAATTGATAAGTGTGATTTCACAACCTTAAGATCTTCTGTGATGATTTTGTTAATGATTTGGTTTTACATAAACTCTATTAATTTTCAATAAAGCAGTGTGGAAGTATATGATCTGCTTTATTTTTTTTATCTAAATTGTTTTAAAAGGCCTACGAAAGTAATAAATTACTATTTGAGTATTCTAAAATTTATCACCAGTATAATTTTGTAGATTCCAATACTGGTATGCACATTTAAAACATTGAAAAACTCTTAAGATTTAGCAAAATGGTGCAGGAGTCATGTGATGCATCCTAAATTTATATTTAAGTTAATTTATATGGCATTGAGTTTACAAATTAGATGACTGTTTTCTTGCTATTTTAAATGATAATTAGCGGTTTTTGGTCACTGGAATGACCATTGTAAGTTTTAATATATTCTTCAGATAATTTAAAAGTTTGAATTTGTATTTATTTAAGTTTTTTATATGCTATATCTGGAATTTGCTGTCCTGATAGGATAGTGGGTAGTGAACTGTACTAAATGGTCTGGGTTTGTATCCCATAGAAGACATGAGTGTTAGTAAACATACACTGTCTGTGCAGCAAGGTTCAAACATGGTAAACCGAAATCCTCTATTGAGAGGTCCTTGGACTGTTCTTAATTGGATTGCCATCTATGATGGAAGCTTAGCAGTTAGTGGGATCTAACAGTCTTGATATGCCTAGATAGGTGCAAAGGTGTAGACTTTCCTTTAACTTATGCCTGTATCTATAATTTGTGTATGCTGATTATGCCACTAAATCAAAAGCAATATGTGATTATCTACCTAAATGAAGACCCAGCTGCTTCTTCAAAATTGTGCGAGAATGACAGGTGCAAGTTTAATGGGATCTATGTCAGTTTATCGTTGTCAACTTTCACTGTTGATGGGAAAATATCTATGTACCATAATAATTAAATAAAAAGTATCATGTACCAATGCATTCATAACATCTGCACTTTCGTGTGGAGTAACCTCGACTGATTCTTGATAAATAAAGTTTTGCTTGTATGAATAAGGATATAAATCAACAGTTAGTGCTGCATTTTTTCTTTTTTTTGGGGGGGGGGGGAGTTGATAAAAATTTGAAACCTGTGTTTTATGGAATAGTACAGAGTAGAATATTTTCAAATTAAAAAAAGTTTTTTAAAAAAGTTATGGTATTCTACAATGGAGGAAAAAAATGTGGGTATTGGACATGATATGGTGAGCTGAATAATGCCGAAAAACAGTAATAGATTCAAACAATTGTGCATGGAAAATTTGCACTCACTGAGTTGCAAGCAGAGTTTTCAGTAAAATCAGAGGGCCTAACAAAATAGTAGAAATTGATGAAAGCCTTTTTACAAACTTGGTAGAATACCAATTATTCATTTAATAAAGAGCCATTAGTCATCTCAGGATGGGAAAGATTGTTGCAATTTTGGCCAGGATTTCTGCCAGCTTTTATGGTTGATGGGATAATATGTTAGTACCTAAATTAATTAAAGCTTATAGATAAAGATACACGATTTTATACAACAAAATAAAAATTTCAAAACTTTTTAGACCTTTCAAAAGTTGTCTTGTGGCATATACTTTAGGAATCATTATGTTACAATATGTTAAGTGCTGTCCCGACATCCCTCTTCCCAATTGAAAGTTTAAGATTATTTAATATTTGTATCTTATAATTAAATGAAGTATCATTCAGAAATGTTGCTGTGAATAACATAGACCCTTTTTTAATAAATGTAAAGTATATTTGTTCTGTTTTCTGTGTCTGACATGGTAAATTAGAAATAAAACTTTTTTTTTTGGTCAAGATGATCTCTTCTTTCTACTGTTTTAAAAATATTTTAAGTGAGTTAAACCTTGTGTTAAAAAATAAGTTTCTTTTCCTATTTAAGTTAACTTGTTTATTTTCCAGTGCAGTGACCAAAAAGATTTTGCTATACGTTTGTGTGGGACGCCTCTGAAGGATGACTCTGGAGAAGCAGGGGGTGAAACACCAAATAAAAGATCTAGCAAAGTTATTGATTTGGATGAGCCATGGATTTGTCAGCATGCTAAACAGGTATGAATAACAAAGAGAATAACAATTGCTTTTTTTAAAAATTCAAAAAAAAGTTTAAAAAAAAATGATAAAAGTAATAAATGTAAATAAAATTTGACATCTTTTTCTGGTGAGTTACCTCTTTAAACATTTTGTCTTTGTCGTAGGGGGGGGGGTTAGCCAGTTAATACGAAGATGTCTTCATCTTCTCTTTTTGGTTTTGTTCTCTTTAAGAGTATTTTTTCTTCATCCTTGAAACTAAGAGGTAAATATATATTTATGGGTGCCCCTTGGCAAAAATTGTCAGTACATAGACACTGAGTTTGTGCAGTTCTTTGACTTGTTATTTTGACTCAAAAATCAGTACATTGTAGTAGTGATTTTTGAGCCCAAAACCACTGCTACACAAAGCCAAAATAACAAGTTAAAGAATTGCACAAACTCGATATCTATGTACACATTGACCTATTTTCACTTAAAAAAAACATCAGAGAATTGCACAAATTGGGCATTGGGCACTCCCTTGACTTTGTCCATGTACACATCGATCTATTTTCACTTAAAAAGTCAAAGAAGCAGCCAATTCTAAACTAGAGCCAAACAGAAAAGATATAATCTCAATAAACTACGTTATAAATCAAACAATGAAATAACATAAAATAGGAAATTCCTTATAGCATCTATGCACTACACAAAGGAAATATTCACTTACCTTATTTAGAAATTTCTGTACTTTAATGAACTGTGAATTAATTATGAATAATTATTTATTTATGAAAATATAAAATCACTAAATATGAATTATAAAAATAATTAAAAAAATGATGAATTTAACTTTTACTTATTTTCCGAGTACAAAAACAATCTTAATTTTCTGCTGACGTGATACAGATTGCAGAAAGATTTTATCCATATTTTTGTCAAAAAGCTGGAAAATTCTGTAACTTTTGGTTCTACAGTTTATGTGACCATGATAATGAAATGAATTGCAGCCTTGGCATCTGCTGTGGTAGGGAGTTCACTTTCCATGTATTATGTTTTCTCAACATTTTCATCAGCATTAGGAGAAGAATATTTGATACTTATGGAAAATCCCGTCAACCATTTTTGCCTATTAAAGAAAAGACTCCAAACTATGTGATTTTTTGCCAAAAATGGAAAAGTCTTCAAACACGCTGGGTCTGGTGTAACCTTGATTACACGTGTTAGTTATTATTGAGTAAAAACTCCTTTTTTCCCCCTCTGTCACCCATTTTTGAAAAAAAAATGATTAAAATTCATAATCCTCCACCGAATATAGGCATCTTAAAGCCCTAATTTGGAATTTGTTTTATTATTGATTTCATATTTTGTAAGACTAACGAACAAAATTTTTTTAAAATATAAATAAATAAATTAAATATAAATATAATAAAATTAAATATAAATAAATGATAATATAATAAATTTGAAAGAAAAATAAGAATAGAACTTCTTGTATTTAGTAAATGGGTCTGGTTTGGCACGATTGGCGCCGTCTCTTGTGGTCGACGGGATTTTCTGTTAGTACCAAATATTTGATTTCAGCATTTCTCATTTGAGTGTCTGTCACAGTATTTTCATTTTTTTTTGGATCTTTGCATGTAATAATATTGTCATCACTTGAGTGAAAAACCCTATTATCATATTTTGAAAATATTAAAATGTTACATTTTTTTCCCTACCCACTTATAGATAGGCAAATCCTCATTTTCATCTTCCTATTCAACACCTTTTTCTAGACCAGCCTACAGAAAACAATTTCGAGTGGTTGATTCTGTAACAAGTTGACAAGACTTTTTGGTACTTCTTTATTATAGCAGCACCCAAGATTGATTCACTAATCGACTGAGATATCTTGCCGAAATCTCACCACACGTTCTTATACTTTGCTACATATTACATCTCAGTAGATTAGCGATCAGAATTCTGGGAGCTGCTATAAAAGGGAAGTACTGACTGGAAGTGACAAATTCTTTAGTTTGGCTTTTTTTTTTTTTTTTTTTTTTTTCTAAATGTATTTGAGAATGCTGTATTCTTCAACACTTAAATTATCTAATCTCTTGTTGCCTGCATTTTTGTATAGTTAATATGTGACAGAATTTTTTTTCCAATTTATGTTATGTAATTTTTTACTTCCCTGTACGAAGTAAAGGAAGTGTTGCAATCGGGAAAAATTTTGGCTATGCTATTTCAACGGAAGTATCCATTTTGACTGTTCCCAATTCCATTTGTACAACTCTTTTGCATGATGTATGTATGTATGGACAGAATAAAGGATTAATATTTCCAAAATGGATTGTAAAATAGATTTAAAATGTATTCAAAAGTTTTTTTTTTTTTTTTTTTTCTTTTTGATTTTTGTACATATATATATATATATATAATGTTTGGGTAACTCAAAAACGATGAGCTGTAGAACATTGAAATTTTGTGAATGGGATCGCTATAACATCTAGTTGTGCACCTTTTCTTTTTTATTGGAGTTGGCCATACCAAATGTGTGTATGTACATATCTATACAGTACAAAGTCCGTAATCCAGACGTCCATTATCCGGAATGATCTATAATCCGGACCTCAAAGCTGTTAACTTTTTTTTTGTATGCTTTACACATGCGCGTATAACGGATGGTATAAGCTAGGCTAAAATTGTTTTTACTGATTCTAAGGCATTTCAGTTAATGTTGCAGATTGCGCTGTTCCTTAATCTTAATCTTCTAATTGGATCCAGCTTATTATTTGTTGCAGACTGTTAGAGCAATTTTAATAAAATTAAGCTTAAACTTTCGATTATGTCAAAAAGAGTTTCCAATTCTGGAGCTGCCAAAGGATCTACAAAGCAAAAGCATGTTTCGATGTCCATCAAACAAAAAGTGGAATTGCTGCAAAAAATGGATAAAGGCATATCTGGCTCAAAATTATGCGAGGAGTATGACATTGTAAAGTCAACTGTATATGACATGAGCAAAAAGAAAAAGGAACTTTTTGAATTTTTTTGTGGATTCTGACACCCCACTTGCAATGAATAACAGAAAAAGGGTTTGTTATGCTAAAGTGACAATCATGACAAAGTGATGATTGAATGGGTCAGATAGTGTCGCAGCGAGGGCGTGCCATTGACGGGTCCAATGCTAATAGCTCAAGCCCAAATATTTCATGAAGAAATGAACTTAAAAACTGAGTGCACATATTCGACAGGTTGGTTAACCAAATTTAAAAATTGCCATGGTTAAAGACAATAAAAATTTCAGGTGAATAAGCTTCAGTTGATCTGCTGAACAATTTGCAGATGAATTCATTGAACTCATTACTAGTGAACAGTTATCTCCAGAACAAATTTATAACACTGAGGAAACTGGTATTTTCTTACAATATGTACCGCGAAATGCCTTGGCAACCTCTACAGAAAAGTCTCAAACTGGTGTCAAAGATTCCAAAGCGAGAATAACAATTTTAGCATGTGAAAATGCTGCAGGAATGCACGAGTGCAAGCTTTTCGTAACCAGAAAACATGCATGACCTTGTGCATTTAAAGGAGTAATGATTTTCCCCGTTATATATTGCGCAAATAAAAAAGCATTGATGAATAATTGATTTGAAAATCATTTTATACCCGAGGCTCGGTGACATTTGAATTCGGTTGGTTTACCTGATGACTCAAAAATACTCCTGATTGTTGACAACTGTTCGGCACATGCTTCACTTAAAGTTTTAGTGAAAAATAATGTATCCGTATTATTCTTCTCTCCAAATTGTACAACTATCATTCACCCTATGGATATGGGAATAGTGCACACGCTGAAATGCAAATATAAAGTAGCATTTTTAAAATCTATGTTAAATTTCTTGAACAATGGCAAGACTATTCAAGACTTTTTGAAATCTTTTAGCATAAAATCTGCTGTGTGGAGCATCACAAGATCAAGGGAGGATGTGCCTCCAGATACGTTAAAAAATGCTTGGCATAATTTATGGCCATCTACCATATTTCATGGGGAGGACGATAAAGATGATAGCTGCGAATTTGAAGGTTTTCGGACATTGCAAACTAAACGTCAAATTTTCCAGTTATTGGATTTTGTAAAGAAATGTGAAGAAGCGGTAATAAATGAAGATGATATAACAGAAGTTTTTCATTGTGGTGACAATGCCCCAATCATCAATCAATTAACGGACGGTGAAATCTGTAGTATGGTTCTAGATCCAGAAAATACCGCTTACGATAGTGAAGAATGTGACAGAGAGGTTATTGAAAACGAAAAAATTTCAATTGAAAAGTTAGTCAGTATTCTCGACACAGCAATTACAGGACTTGGAATAGTGGAACTTTGTAACTGAACAAGAAATTATGTCTGTTTATAGAATTAAAGAGAAAGTATTAGCACAAAATCGAAGCAATTTAAACAACTTGCATTGAAAGAAATGTTTAATAAAGTGAACAAATAAATATTAAGCTTTTTTTTCTTTTTTTTTGTAAATTTTGACACCCTTTAGATCATAATTGCTCTTTATTTCATAAATTATGGTTTCATATTTTTAATTGTATGATTTCTGCATGCCATCTTACCAGATTTAAATTGATGATCTATAATCCGGAAAAACCCCTAATCCGGAATCGAAGTCCCTACGAGTCCGGATTAAAAACTTTGTACTGTATATATATATATGTAAATCCAAATTATAATTTAAATAACAATAGCTCCTCTCTATTCTAAAAATAGTAATAGCTGTTTCTGGACTGCATGATATCTAGGTCAATCCATAACATATGACTTGCATAATGTTCATAACATAGCTAATTTGGAACTTAAACCGAAACTTTCTTTTAATAAGTTACCATAATGGAATAATTGCACACTTTTGCTTCTACCTGTGTTCTTGTCAAGGTGCTGCCTCGTTGCTCTCTTCCTATCACAGCAGTATCAAAAATGTAAATGTTCATGAATAGGCACAATTGGAGGGCCAAGTGAATTGTGGCCACAAATGTCAATTGAAATAAAGATTAGTATTTAATCTGCTATGGCTGCCAAGTTTGCTCTTCATTATGGATTAGCATCTATGAAATGCATTATATATATATATATATAATAAAAATAATAATTATATATGAAAAATTTATAAAGTGGGAGCTTCAAACTTTGTATTGTATACAGAGGGTAAAAGGAACAAGTATACAGAAGTAATAATAGGCCTATCTTTCTGAACCACTCTTCGTTCAACATACTCTGTACTTTACATTCAGTTATTCCTTACATAATTATAAAGGGTGTCTCAAAAAGAATGCTGGATTTGAAAAGCCCGTTATTTTTATTTGTTGTTGTTGGCAACATTGTTTTTGCATGTTTTATTATCACTGATCATTGAGGTTATGTTTTGATGCTGTGCTTTTGTTTTCCAGGTTAATGTTTGTGGTGTATAGTTATGGAAAGATACAGTACGGAACAGAGAGTGTTGATTGTGAAAACTCACAAAAATGGAAAATGTTTCGTGGAAACCATTCGAAAACTTTAGGATTATGGGACGCAACAATTTGGACTGGGGGTTTAATCAATCGTTATTTTTTTTTTTTTTTTTTTTTTTTTAAGATGACCAAGGAAGGGCTGTCACGGTGAGTGGAGTTCATTATCGTGCAATGCTCACTAATTTCCTTTGTCCCCGGTTGGATCAAATGAACATCGAAAATTTCTAGTTCCAACAAAACGGTACAACTTGCCACACTTCAGGAGAGACAATCGCTCTGCTGCGTGAGGAGTTCTCAGACAGACTAATCTTGTTATGAGGAGACCAAACCTATCCACCTCGATCTTGTGACCTGACACCTTGTGACTTTTTCTTAGGGGGTACACTAAGTTACGAGTTTACAAAAATAAACCCTGTAATCTGTTGGAACTCAAACAAGAAATTCAACGGATTCTCAACGAAGGTGATGGAGAAATGTGTGAGCGAGTAATAGTTAATTTCATGGACAGAATGATTGCTTGTAGGGCTAACGGGAGGGTGGTCATATTGTCGATATTGTGTTTCACGTATAATCCCAACATCTCCTGAAGAGAATGGTGTGTTTTGTTTGCTTCTTTCAAATAAATAAATTTGATTTATAGTAGATTCAAATCCAGCGTTCTTTTTGAGACACCCTTTAGTATTCACATTGTAATAAAACAATAGACTTAGATGTAATGATGTAGAACAATGATAGCGTAGAATTTTGCATAGCATACATTATTGGTTAAAATTAATCAACAATTAATTATTGGTTAAATATTAATGGAGCTGTGAATGAGATGACTGAGAAATATATTTGCTTGAATAATATAAGGAATTATAATCATAAAGTGATAATTGCAGAAAAATATAACGAGTATCGGTATTAGTGAGAATCGCAGGTTCTTACAACAAAGCCATCATCAGTGTCATAATGACCAGAGAGGACATTAATAGTATTTGAAATTTCTGACAAAATGTTCTTTTCTAATAAAGTTCTTTTCTGTATTAGCCCTTTCAAGGAAATGAATGCTTCTTAGATAAATGTCCTTTATATGTCAATTATGAGATTACTGTTGAGAAAAGCACTTAAATATAATTCATTCAAATGCATATAAATTGGTCAAATTTTACGGAGCTTTGAATTCATATAATTTTTGGAATCATGCATTTCATTATCCACAAAATGCAAGAATATTTACATTTCACAATACAGTCAAAAGTCGTTAATCCGGACTCGTCGGGACTTCGGCGTTTCCGGATTATCGATTTTTCCGGATTATAGATCATCAGTTTAAATCTCATAAGATGGCATGCAGAAATTCTAAAATTAAAAATATGAAACCGTAATTTATGAAATAAAGAACAATTATGATCTAAAGGGTATCAAATTTGCAAAAAGAAAAAGCTTAATATTTATTTGTTTACTTTATTAAACATTTCTTTCAATGTAAGTTGTTTAAGTTTTGCTTCGTTTCATGTGATAATACTTTCTCTTTGATTCTCTATTAAACAGACATAATTTCTTGTTCAGTTACAAAGTTCCACTGTTCAAGTCCTATAATTGCTGTGTCAAGAACACCGACTAATTTGTCAATCGAAATTTTTTCGTTTTCAATAACCTCTGTTACTTTTCTTCGCTATCGGAAGTGAATTATAAGGACGAGGAACTTGTTTTAAATCATATCAAAGACGGAGCATATCGAGATGAAATACTACATTTGGTAAGGAATTATAAGCCAAATAAAATAAAAACATCTGCGCTGAAGATAAGGATAGTGCTGACAGATCAACTTCCAATTCATTACACGCCCGCTGCGGCGTTCCCCCCGCGGAGCAGCGTGAAATTGATAAACAGATTTGGGATTTCAAAACATACTTTCGCTTTAGATCCTTTACATATTAACAAATATATATCGGAAATTCTATTTGATATAATCGAAAGTTTAAGCTTACTTTTATAAAATTGCTCTTACAGTCTGCAAAAAAAATAATAAGCCGGATCCAATTCGAAAATTAAGGAACAACGCAATCATCAACATTAACTGAAATAGATAATTAGATAATTTTAGCTTATATATCTATTATACATAAAAACGTGCACGCGAAAAACGTATTCTGCACTTTGCGCACAACGCATATGCGCAGTCGGTAAAAGGTCTTGCGCGCACGCGTAAACGCCTATGCGCATGTGTCAACGCTGCGCATGCGCAGAAAGTTTTTAGTTTTGAGTTCCGGATTATAGATCATTCCGAATTATGGGTGTCCGAATTAACAACTTTTGACTGTATCTATTATTTGTCATAATCTTTGACTAAAAAGATGTTTTCACTCATGATTTCCTGCTCCAATACATTACTTTTTTTTTTTAACAATTCCTTGTAAAGTTGAAATAGCAAGTACTAGGATGTTTCTTTTGGAGATGCAGGGTTTCTGGCTTTTAATCCCCCTTCTCCCAAAGCGGGGTGAATGGTTATTCACTCCACCTTGGAGTTTTAAATGCTAAAAGTTGGTATTCTTTTGCTACCTTAACGAAGGAGTTTTTTTTTTTTTTTTTTAGAACTATTTGATGAAAAAATCTATTTAAAAAAAGAAAACTTTTTTTAAACCTTTTTGTTTAAATCTTGTATTGTTGCATGCATATAGGTTCGCAATAGATTAAATGCACGCAGAACCAATGTAGCTTGATAAAATCTATTTTACCAAAAGAAACACTTTACAGTTCTGGAACTTTCCACAAAATACTCGTACAGCTCTTCTCAATATCACAGTGTTCAATCATTAGTTAGACTTCAAACTACTAAGGAAATTAAACACAGCATAATACAAAGGACATGTAAAAGGTAAAGCTCACACAGAGATTTCTCAATACTCAGTACTTAACGGTGAAGTAAACAACATCTGAGAACTAATGCTCTCTTTGGGCTTATTATAGTTTTACCCAGCTGCTGAGAAATCTCTAGTAGCTTCTATTTCTCGAAATTACTGGAAGGCATTTGTGGACCGAGTGTAGTTACAGTTAAATATGGGAATCAATTACAATTATTGTATTACAGTACCAATACGGACTGGTCACCAAATTAGGTGACTTTTTATGATTTCTCACCATATCTGGTGACAAAAGTTAGTCACCAAAACCACTGCCAGCTTGACGATATCTCGCCAGTTTAATGAGATAGCCATTTACCTCAATGTTAAATAGATTTGCGCCTATGTTATATAAAAAATAGTACAGTTTCATATATAATTTCTGTAAAACTATTTACATATATTCAAAATTCATAACAGCACATTTATTTACTAGTTTGCAAAATTTTTGTGTTTGTTTTGTTTTTGGTTGTGTATATGTAAACAATTTATGAATCAGGAAATGAACCCCCCCTTTTTTTTCAGCTAATGCGAGCCCTTCCTGGTGGCTTGGATATATTAGGCTTTTATGCTGTTGTGCCTTCTGATTTTTCTTCTAAAAACCAAACACAGCTGAGACAGGTAAGGATTTTTTTTTTTTTTTTTTAAATCTATGAAAGTTTCATAGCAGTGTAGTATACTTTTATTAAATGCTTTTCATTAGAAATTTGAAAGTGTGGTAGACTGATTGGATATATTGAAAGCTTGTTAAATTTGTTATCTTTTACTGAATTATACTATAGATATTTACAGTATAGATGAATTTTCTCAAGTAAAATATTCATGTTTTTAACAATAAACATAAATAAAAATACCACTCTTAGAGAGAAAGCAAATGAAGGATTACTGAAATCTCTGTTTCATTGTAGGAAGTATTTTAGCCATCACGTCTGCTACAATTTTATCAACATATAGTTTTTTATCTGACAAATCCATAGATATCCTGCAAATGGAATTCTATCTGATAAATGCATAACTGTTCATGCAAAACCGGCTGAATATCATCATCACCATGAAACTGAATTGTGTTCAGAAGTGTAATGAATGCTCATCTCCAAAAGTAGGCTGATGTAGTAGTAAAAGTACTTTTCAGTAAGAGGATGATGCTACACTACCAGTCTCCTTTTGATGGAGAAGCTGTCAGAAAGCATTGATCTAGCATTTCTTCATTTTAGGTGTCAAGCCCTTGTGTACTCATCTTTTATGCAGTTTACAGAATTTCAGTTTGTCATGCATGATTCTGCATTAATATTCAGTAGTGATAGCATCTTCACTGAATTATCATATGTTCTTTTAAGGCTGCACTGCTGTTTATTACAACTCTGAAGCTTGGGCAAGGGGAATCTTTTACACTAGTGATACCAGTCACCATATTAAATTCTTGTTCAATTGTGAACATGTATAGGTTTTATTCTTTGCTACAAAACGTAACTTTTTTGGAACACAGCCCTCCCTCTCAATTTTACTAAAGAAGGAGGTGCTTTTGACTTACTCCATGATCTTTTTCTTGTGACATTATTTTATAGTATTGATGTCTCATCTTCAGTAATGAGTCTGTACAGTTGCGCGCCTCCAACCTGCACGCAACAAAGTGGTGACTGCTGAAACTGGAAATTAGACAGAGTCTTGCGAAGGGTTTAAGTTTAAGTCCCTTTTTATTCAACTTAAGAAATTACAATTGCGTGCTCTTGACGCTCACAAACTACGCCGACCCGGCGGTAAAATAAAAATAAGAACCTGAAAAGAAATAATAACAAGATTCTAACTACGAGGCTCTCTAAATGTAACTAACCTCACCGCTTTTTACAATACCGCTGCTAATTCAGCAAACTTGAATATCACGTTGAACGATTAACAATTGGCCGAGACAAGCACACAGGCCGAAACGCGTGGTTCTTCAATTTCTGGGCTAACTACCTCTGCAATAGTGAAGTAAGAACAGCACACCTCCAACTCGTTTCCTTTCTATTTAACTCAGAATACTTCCGCTGATAATTTGAATCCTTGCACGTTCTACTAAAATTTACATACTCTGGCATTGGCAGTTCCAGGGGAAAGTAAGGCTTGACAGGAAAGATAGTTTAAACTTAAAATAAATGTTAGTTAAAATAAATATAAACCCTACAAGTCTTTTAAAAAGGGAGTTTAAAGCATATTTTTTCTATTAAAGTATGAGGTACCCATACATCCTAACTGCATTCCTAGTCTTCTTCAAATGATCATATGCTATATTTTTTAAATATGTATTCTGTCTGATAATTCCTGAACTTTTTAACTTGGATTTTTCAGTCATAGCTTTTTTTTAGAGTAGGTCTTTGTTTACAGAGGATGGTCATCTTGAATGGACATCATCTTTGAGGCTGAAATTTGCACACTTAAACTACTCAAACCATCTTCAAACTGTGTCATCAAAAACTGGTACTTCATATATCTTGTAAGCAGTCTAACTTGCCTTTTTTAAAATAAAAAAGCAAGACTAAAATTAATTTGTTTCTCCATTCCTTGCACAGCACTGAAACAAAAATTGTGCCACAACCTGTGGTGGAATAATACTGTAAAAAAGGTAAAAAGGACTATTTTTAAAAAATGACTATTTTTAAACATTTACCTTAATCAGTGTCACTCCATATTAACAGTAACAAAATAACTAGAAGAAAACATTCTTAATTTGGAAAATCACAGAACTTTTGGAATGACTCAATATAAATAATGAGCAATGTTTTTATGGAGATGGAGTTAATAATGTTGCTTTGTGTTTGAAATGTGATTATAAAAATTTGCTTAATTGTACTAAATTTTTTAAATATGTGATTTATTTGTTTGGATTGCAATGTAAAAAATATTATATATATTATTAATAATATTTCTAGATTTATTTTCCATTTTCAAAATCCTTGGAAAAAATCAAAAACTTAATCTGAATTCAACTGAGAGGATATTACTGACTGTATGCCCTGTAACATCAAAGTATCCTTTCTTATGAAGTTGTCTTATTTTCTGTATGTAATTTAGGAATTTTTTTCTTCTTTAGAATTCTTTTCTTGAAAAGAAATCTAGCATTTAGTTAATGTAAATTTTACCATATAGTTTTTATAAAAAAAAAAATATCTTAATTAATAGCATATAATTAAAATTGTTTGCTATTGAAGTTGTATTATTATTATTTTTTTTTAAGAAATGAAGCATTTAATGAACTTTTCCAAAGAATTTGTGAATAGTAAAACTAATTTCTCTTCCATCGTTGTTGTTAGTTGTAATCAACATTTAAAGGCAGAACACTCACAACAATATTGTGCGGCAAATCCTCATTAGATTTTTTAATAAAGAAGGTCTGCGATTTATAGCAGTCAGTTTGGAGGTGATTTAGCACACTGGAGTTTCATCATTTTCGTCCACTTAATGAATTTTTAAGAAGGAGGAAATTGGGACTTAATGAGCAGATATTGACACTGTGCAATAACAGGTCAACATGCAGTCAAAAGAGATTTTTACTGTTATGAAATTAAACTTCTTTGTCGCTGGAACAAACCTATAGCACTGATAAGTGATTACATAGAAAAATGGTATGTAAGCCATTTCATTATGTTAAATAAATATTTTTTTAAAATATATTTTGATTTATATTTGGACATCTAACATATTAACTGCCCAAGTAGATGATTTAGTGATTTATTAAAAATTTACCTTAGATAAAACTATTTGAACTATCTTGAGATACTTGAACAATGTAATGTAAAATAATTCGCAAGTAAATTGACTGAGCACATCAAAAGACTTGGAAAATTGACATTTTTTATGAAAAGCATGAGCATTTTATAATATTTATTACATTTATTGATATATGTTCAGCTATCACAAAGTATTTAAAAATCACTCATGAATTAAATAGCAAAAGCAAACTCACTTATGAAGTAGTCTTTTATTACAGTTGAGATGGTATGTTGGGTAAAGTCATAGTGTGTTGATGAGTGCTTGTAGGTTTGTGACTGGGAGGTTGCATTTGAATAGTGACTTTATGAGTAAATTCATTTTTTAATTTTAAATATTCACCTGCACAGTGGACTTTAAATGCTCTTTGATCAATATTTCCAAGGCTGTTTTATGCAGGTTGCCTTTGGTAGTGCAATAAAATGCCAGTTCCAGAATTTTAAAAATATTTCGTTACTAACATTTGCTATGTGAGAATGATGAAATGACTCTGCTAAGAATATTTCTGACATTAAATTAAATTGAAAGACGGTGCCATTTGAAACTGATGATCACTGGCAACATACAAGATGACACAGAGGTCATCAATCAGCGTGACATATAGTCAGCTTATATATCACCTGTATGGGGTCGGGTCTACCAGTAGCTGAACAGTAAAATTGCTGAACTCTGGTAGTTTGACATAGGTTCAATTCCATGCAGTCCATCTGGCTACATGGGCATTTTCATTGTTTTCCCAAATGTATAATGTGGATATGAGCCAGCTTTCCTTGGAAAGTCATCCACGAAGGCATGTCACTCCCTAGGCCGATAGCCCTTGCATACTTTGCCATAATCAAATAAACCAGACCAACCTGTGTGGTATGGTACAGTAAATTGAGGTAGATTTTTTTTTTTTTAATTAAAGCAGGTGGATGGTGGTCTGCTGTAGCACATTTTTATGTCAATCTGTTTGTCAAGAATAATCCTACAGATTGAGGTCACTGTTGCACAAACAGAGCAGTGTAGCTGGCGTGTGTAGAGTTTTAAAATAAAGTTAGTTCAAGGAATGTTGATGACAGTCAAAATCACTGATGATGTCTAGATTGACTATCACTGGTAGTCATTCAATAGTTACCACTAAAAAAAAAAAAAAGGTAGTGCTATAATTTAGGTAAAAATTTTAAATGGAATCAAATGGAAAGGCAACAGTGCAGATCAAAATATTTTCTTACCAATAATCTGTAAATTTATCCCTGATGGTCTACAAGTTATATTGTTGGCAAAACTGTGAAGTTAGGAAGTAAGAGGAGAGGCCCTAACCAGTTTTTCCCATGCACTACCTTAAAGCAGTGGTGTGCACCCCATGTGGAAACCAAAACTTTTAGTCACTTGCTGACATGATTGGAGGTAAAAATTTTGTAATTATGTCGTAAATATAGACTTAAATGTATATAATTTCTTTTTCTACACAAAGTCCTAAGTGAAAAGAATATATTTTTAAATAACATTTCATTCTGAATGAAATTAAGTGCTATAATTTTGAGACCAGTTTAATATGAATGAAATATTTTCTTAAGTTTTCATTAATTACATTAGAAAGAAATTTTAAGGTAATTTGGTTTTATTCAGTTAACAATTACAAAAATTAAAGTTTACTGTATTAATATTGAAATTATGCATGATTTCTTTTATATTTGCAGAGCTTCTTCCTGAAATACTCTGTCAAATATGAGATGATTTTTTAGCTTCAGAGGCATCCTGTTAATCAAAAATCAGAGTCACTTTATAATTAATGATCTGTTTATTTCATTTCAAATTAGAGTACCTTTTCTTTTAATAGTGAAATATGTTAAATATTGCTGCTCACTTCCATATACTTAACTTTCTCTGAAAGTGAATAAAAAAAGTTTTTTAAAAATATTATTTAAAACTTGTAATTGAGTTATAAAATGTAAGGAAATAATTCTTTTAATTCTTATAGATTTTTTTTTTTTTACCTTTAATTTCAATAATACATATTCTAAAAACTCTTCTTTACTATTTCCTCAAGTGCATAACTTTGCTTTACAACATCTTTTAACAGATTGCTTTCCATTACAAATAGTTCTTGCTTAAATAGTTTTATAAACATATTTGTGAATAGAATTTCAGTGTATGTTTGCAATTAAATGTTAAGGTTATTATATATTAAGATAATAGATAATATTTATAATCATTATAAATTTAGATGTATTTAATAACTAGATTTCTTCACAATAACAGGAGTTTATGAATGAATAAATTTTTTCATTTCCAAATACATTTAATAAATGTAATTAATATTTATAAATTTTATAAACAATTTATTAAGTATTACATATTTTTAAAGGCAAATGCATGTTTTTTTTCAAGGCTATGCATAAATACCCATATATATTTAATATTTTTCATTTTTGGCATGTGCAAATCTTTAATTTCTGTGCATTCACTATATTTTTTGAGTAAAGTAATTTGTAATAATTTAGCCTATATCAAAAATTTTTACATAAGAAATCTGTGTAAAATAAATGAAGGAAAATTGCATGCATTTATCCTGTCTTGGTGATGTTGCACTTACACCTGGTCACATCATTTTGACCGCTCATGGTACTTCTGCCGAATTGGCAAATGTTTTGGTATATAATTTTACACAAATGTGTGGTTATAAATGAAGGAAAAGTTAACTTATTATCATATCTGTCTCTATTAATTTTGCCTGGGATTTCGCTTTTCAATTAACATATATAAACCCAAAGTGATTATTTTTCAATTATGTAAAAATAAAATGATGATTTAAAATGAGCAACTGTTAAGCCTATTATTAAGATGAAGATGTTGACACATCATTCAAATAGAACATTTTTCAAAGAAATCATTCTTCTGAAGAAAAGGAAAATTTTGAGCTGCCTGTAAGAGACAAAAGTTTTGCTTTATCTAATGAAAGGTTGCCTGCATATGGTATTAACCCAAACAAGTTTAAGAGCAAAATAATATATTCCCAGAAAATGATTCTTTAATAAATTCTTTCTTTCTAAAGGAAAGGGAAAAAAATATTCCTCAAAAAGTTTTTCGTCTAGGGAAGGAGTTTAAAAGTGTAACATCTTTGCATTGCTATGCTACTGAACTAAATATCATGTCAGAAATATGAAAGGTCCTTGCACTTAAAAAAAAGGTGCTCACTTGAAGGTGTATTAAAGATCCTCACGCTGGAAATGTCTTAGTTTTCTGTAAGATTGATATTTGACCAAAATGGTGAATTTCTTTTAAACATTTCACTACACTAGATTTAAATTGATGATCTAAAATCTGAGAGATTCTGAAATCCAGAATTGCATAAGTCCTAATGAATCTGGAGCTTGGACTTTGTACTGAGATACCTTTTTGTTCTTGTTACTTCCTTTAGAAAAATTCATTTTGAAAGAAATCTATGCTAAAAATTGTTACACTTTAATAACTTTATTGTGCTTATAAAAATTAGCATTGTTATTCTACAGATAGTATATGGAATTTTACTTAAGAATTACTAAGAATCTGATAATCATGAGAATAACATACTAATCTGGTGATTTGGAATTTATTTGCGAATATGCTCTAATTATTAAACATTTCTTTAATATATAAAAGGATAGTTTGCCGAACATATGACATTGCAGATTATAAGGTAAGCTGTGTTTCTATCGTCACACTGTCTGTCTCTTTATTTACATCTGTATATACTATTTTTCTCATTTTTTTCTTTCCATTTTCTATAAAAGCATTTTAGTTGTGTAAATTAAATCTTAAAATAGAGATAAAATGTTTTCTTTTAATGCATAATTTCCCTTTTTTTCCCATTGATAGAGTGGTGCTAATCCTGCAGAATGGAAGTTATTTCCTGGAACCATGAGGTGGCATCGTGTGCGATGCCAGCTTGCTGTGGATATTAAATTTCCTATCAAAAGTGAGGATGCTGGATTGAGTTTACAAAAGCAAATTGAGATAGGTTTACATCCTTTTCTTGAGAATGTAAAAGAAGCCCATGCTCTTGTAAATGGTGTTCAAAGGGAACTAGAGGAACCTCTGGAGCCAGTTACAGAAGGAGGGAAGAAATCCCGAAAGAAAGCAGCATCAGACAGTGATAAAAAGATAATGCTTCGAGATTGGCATGACATAGAGCTTTTCATTCCTTTGGTAATTTATTTATATATTTATTTTCTATGAACATATAAATAATTTTAATAATTTTCTAAAATTTTGCTTCAATTGGGTTCTAGACACTTAAATGTTTACATATTTTATATAATGTAGCCTGTCTCAAAAATGAATGCAAATTTTGATTAAAAAAACAGAAATTAAACAATGTACCACCAAACAGTAGGCACCATTAAATATGTCTACAGCTTTTTTGATAACATTAAATGACAAAAAATATCATTCAGAACAGTAGTAGAATTTAACTAATTTAATATGAATACAAGAAGAAATGTACTTTTGCAGAATTTTAATTAGGAAAAATGCAAAAATTTGTTTATAAGCTGTTTATAATGTCTTTAATGCAAAAGATTACAATGTTTCTGGAAATTATGTAATTGACGTTATACTCCTAGTCTCAGTACACATAGTAATCTTAGTACATCCCCCATTTATTGGAAGAGAACATACAAATGTAAAATTTTAAACTAAGTAAAAAAAAAATACCCAAGTTTGATACAGATATTTTCAGGGGATTCCTTACCCCCACCAAGAGTAAAGGGAAAAATTCTGAAAAAATGTTTTCACTCTTGGAGAAGAGGAATCTTTGTCTGATCACCCTCAGAATCCATAGAGTTATTCAAAATCAACCTCAAACTAAAGTTGCTTTTTTACCTAATTTTAAATGGTTGATTAAATTTGAAAACCTGTTTGACGACTTAATTTCTTATTTGGTGATTTCACCCCCCTCGCCAATTTTTATAATCTATTTTGACTTTATTTGGAGACTTTATCTCCTATTTGCTTTAGTTGAAAAATTGATATTATAAAATAAAATATGTAAAAGGTTTGATAATATTAACTGATATATAATATTAATTGATATATAATATTAACTGATCATAATAAGTGATATGTTTTTCATGTTTCCATAATCCAATGGGCAGAATTTTGACAGTTTGATAACAGTACCTGAATGATAACATTAACCACTGACATATTGAACAACTTCTATTTTTTTTTTAAATCCAATGGCGGGCACTTGCATGTTCAGCATTGGCCACTTCTAAGGCCAGAAATGGTGACCATTTTATTATGGAGGCATCTAACAGACAGCCACCATTGCCTCCTATGAAGGGCTGGACAGTTACACCTCTGCCTTCTCCAAGATTCAAACTTTGGTACCGCAGTAGGCTCCTCTAACCACTATACTGTATGGGCAGTAAAATCTACTGTATAACATTACAGATTTTTTTACCACTTCTCAGCTCAACAAATTTCAGAAATGTCCCAAAACTGTCCATTTTTTTGTTGCAGAATTTTATAGGAAATTGCATATTTAGATGAGTTATATGTGAAAAATCATTCATATGTCAAAAATAAAAAAATATATAGAGAGGGAGAAATAAAAATTACAATTACCCCTGTAATTTTTTTTTTTTGCACACGCATAAGTATGAGTAGTGAATTTATTGTACTTGAAATACCCATGTAATGTTCGCTTTTTTAATATATGCAGTTAGTAATATACATTTTGCATAACTTTACATTTTGTATTTGTTACACATCTGGAAATTCTAGCTATAATTTAATATTTCATCTCATTATCTATTTTAAAACAAGGAGCAGCATATGAAGGATATTTTTAGGTATATAACAAGGAAGGAACAGGAATTAAAACATGCAAATTACAATAATATAATATAAAGGCTATTTTATATGCTTTTAGTAATAAGATTACAAAAAATTTAAGGATTTGTAATAAATATTTACTTTGAAAAAATTTAGCAAAAACAACATAAAGTATCTGTTCTACTATCAATTCAGTAGCAAAAAGGAAACAAATGTATGAACTTGTTCTTGTGGTCATTTAACACCATTTAAAACAAGAAAAAGTAAACTAAAATGAATTACTATGGGCTAGACAAAAGTTTTTAACTTTGGAAATGAAATGCTCATGCTACATATGGACAAATCAGTCAAGTAGTTAAATGAAGCAATGCGTCTTTACACTATTTGTCTCAAAGTACAAAACATAATTTACATACAAGTTTTAAAATTATTAGTTTATAAATGCAAAGAAATCATATTTTTTTAAAATCAAGTCCTATTAAAAGAAATACTGGACATCTTAATAAGAGTGTAATACCACAGACCTATCATAAAGACAGACTGCAAAGTTAAAACATGAAAACCCTTATGTCTGGACTAAAATACAAATGAAGAAATATTTATAATCAAAATCATCAAGGAATATCTTTAACACATTGTCATTTCACTTAGCTTCCAGGAACTCATTTCCACAAGGTAAGCCATTTGCTCCAGAAGTGAACATTTTCTTTTGTGGTGGGCTTGCCCTTTTATGTTCACCCATAATGGATTGTACACCTTTGACCTTGTGACATTAAGGCTTGGCTGGAAGAAACATTCCTGAAATGTCATCCACATGGTTTGGCTTTAACCGTATGGAAAATCTAAGCTTAATGGCTCACTTGTATGTAGAAAACACTAACTTTGCTGTCTTTACAATAGCATCAGTTAAAAGATATGTATTTTTTATACACTTAGGAGTGACAACCAGCTTCAAGCCTTTAAAGTTAATGTATTCAATTATTTATGTATTCAATTATTTAATGTATTCAATTATTTGATACTTCTTTTTTGAATTTTATTATTATTTCAAAATAAGTGTTCAAATTGGTTTGAAATATTGACTAGAATTTAATTTTTCTAAAATTTTGAAATTAAGAGAAATCAAATCAAAAGAAAAAGAAAACTGCAGATGATATCAGAATTATGAAATGCGTATTTATTTTTCAAACTGAGGTAAGCTTAATAATGCAAGCTAAAGTATTCTTTGAAGGCATTTTGTGCTTTTTTCCCCCCACAGCAAATTTGAAAAAACAATTGATCATATTTAGGATTTTGAGTTCATTATAAAAGGGTCACTTGTTTACATTAGCGAAGTGACTAATACTATTCTTATGTATGTGCAAAGGATATTTTTTTAGTAAACCATGCAATAAAAATTTTGCAATAAAAAAATGAACTGTTAAACATCTCAAATACTTTCTTTCATTCTACATACCTTCAGCATCTTTTCCATACAGTTTTCATTGTTGTTGAAGTATTTGTCATAATATGAGGCAGCTTTTTATACACTTCATAGAAATATATCACCCAAGAGAATAACCCTACCTGAACTGCTGTTTTTACTTTTTCATCAGTTTGGGAATTCTTGCCAGTGGAGAACCTTTTCGGGCTTGGAACTTGCAGGAAGAAATAGAATCTGCAGGTGCAAATTAGAGTTGTATGGAATATAACTTGATATTGCCACTACCTGAAAGATGAGTAGAATTTATATTTGGTACCATGGGCTGCACATTACTGTGAAGTAAGATAATTCTAGTAAATAGCAACACATAGTATATTGTACTTACGATATGTTAGAATGTGCAATGAAATTTTTCAAAGTCTTTTGTGGCATTCTTTAAAACTCTATATTTGTCCCAAAAAGTGCTGTCATTATCTTATGAGTTGAGAATGTCTGTTTGAATTTCACTTTTGTGGGAGATATGTATGTCACCATTCTAGCAACTTCTGCTTCAATTCAGGGATCATGAGATACTAGTGTCTCATTCCCCTCACAAAGTGTAATATGGTGAATCATACTTGTATTTTAACCATTCATCATGTGTAGTAGATGTGAGCATGATTCATCTTGCTCGTACTGTTGTTGTGTGTTGTGACTAATGTCAGTTTTCTGACAGTGACATCAGAACAAGCCGTGGAATTCATCATGGCAAGAGAGCAAGATTGCATCTGTTGTTGGCTAGAGCCTTGAGCACTATACAGGTGATAGTAAGACTTCGCTCAGTTCTCTCCCAATTTTGATGGAGGGCACCCTGGGGAGATGGGTCCAAGGGTCTGGGGAAATGGGTCCGAGAGGACTTTCAGCTCACCATGTATTTAGAATGCCCCTAGGCTGCAAAGACACTATACATTTGAAAACATCCATGCCTTCTCTGGGATTAGGACTCGGGCTTTTCGTTATAACAGTAGACTTTCCTAACCACTGTACCATCTAAGCAGCTCATGCTCATTCTTTCAACCATTTTTAAACAGTTTAACAAACTTATACTTTTCCATTGCTCATGGAATTTGGTCAATACACGTCAATACAATAAATCTTTGTTACTGTCACATTTCTTGCAGTTAGAAAGTGATGAATGGGCATCATTTCACAGGTGATAAACCACTTGATTTTATTAAACATGTCCATTATGCAATATGAAATGCACATATGTCAGTATGTTTATGTGTAATAGATGGTTATATACCAGGGCAAAACTTTGTTCAGTCATAACTCCTTTTTGTTGGTGAGATTTTTTTAAGACCTCAGATATTAATACAAAAAAAAAAAAAAAAAAGGTATAAAAATGCATATTCTCCTGTAAATAATTTACTTCTGTGGTAAACACTATACATATAAAAGGAATTAGTTTGGGGATTTATTTTAAGCAAACAACAATTAAAGAAATTTCTAATGAGACAGATGTGCTTGTTTTCTGTTGCATAACAAATTAAATGTTGATGCGATATTTGACATTACTGGACAATGTTTTAATTAGTGTTAAAGCTGGAAATGTAGTTTTATAAAAATGTATTGTGCTGAATAAGAGAAGAATATTTAATTCCCATTTCAGAAATAGTGAGAAATCTAATTATAACTCATCCAAAATTCATCAAGTATTTTAGTGAAAACTCAAGTTTTAATTTTGAAATGCTAGATAGCTTTACATATTCCTTTTGCACTTTATGTAACAGGTAATTAATCTCATTAATATCAATTAACATGTCTTTAAAAGTCTAATCTCGTTAATGTTTGTTAATGTAGTTTCTATAAAAGTCTATGAATGCAGTTTCTTTAAGAAACTGTTATATGCCAAGCGATACTGTGAACATGCAATATTCTGAATGTGCATGCACTGATAAGATATTGTTAAACAGGCCTTATTTAATAAAATTACCTATTATTAAATAATTATCTATGTATATGAGAAACCCCCTTTTTAAAATCCTGAAGAATAATTGCTATTCTATAAATTTAATTGTAATATTTTATGTTTTAAACTATTATTCTTTTATGGCTTCCAGTGTCATAAGAAATATCTTTCCACTCAGTTTTTTCATTCATAATTTATTCTCACATTGGCTTTTCATTTGACATTTTTTTTTTTCCCTGCGTAAGATATTTCTTTCTAATATAGATGTAAATTTTTAAAAAGTTATAGATGTTTCACTCTGTTGGGGAATATGAGTTTGTCTTTTTAAACATTATTTTCTTTTAAATGTTAAAAATTGAAATGATTAAATTTTTAATATCTCTAATGTTTCCATATATAATCACTTGTGAGCAGTTATATGAGTACATATAATTATTTATCAGCAGTAGTGCACTTGTTCAGAGTCTGTGATTCAAAAAAGGTAAATAATCATAAAATTGAATGAAACAATGAATATGTTAGTAGTTGCTGCTAATTTAAGTGTCATTGTTTTCAAACAAGTAACGTAGGAAAATCTGAGGAACTGTATATGCAGTGCTTATACTGAGTTTTGAGATTACTTTTTTTTTTAAAACAAATATTCAGCAATCCCCTTTAAAAACATCAGAAATAAGTTTGACTATCAAAACAGTCACATGCAAATCATGTTCTTTCTCTGGCTGTCATCACATAAGTTGCTACTACGAGCGATACAGTGAGATGAATGCTCAGGGTGGGTCCGGAGGACAAACTAGGAGGTGAAAGGGGTGTGACCAATATTCATGTGTGACAGGGCAAGGCATTGGGTTGGCTGTCCAAGACGAAGTATTTAAGCTAAACTTTTCAAGTACAAAACATATATGTGATACAAAATATAAATTTGGCTTCTAAATATGATCTAGTTCATAACCCATGTCTGTTTCAAATGCTGTTATTATTAAGTGAATTTTATCAAAGTCTTTAAGGAACTGTGCAAGAAAGATTTTCTTTAATTGTATTTCCATTTATATAGGAAAACAACAATAATATTTCAAATCCTGAAATATGTGACTGTGTGTGCATGATGACTTTTAAAGGTACTGTACAATGTAGAGCTTATGTTCATGGAAAAGCCAGTATTCTAGAAGCCATTAATGTAAGTATTTTGTTTTTGTTTTTGCTTATTCAGTAACTCCTTTTTTAAAGGTAGGTCAGCATCTGTTATTTAGTTGTACAGAAAGCAATTTTGCTGTCTTCATGGGAAGAGCAGGATTTTCTTATAATATATGAATATTTTATTAAATTATATATTAACTATCTTGGTTCTATACCTTTTGCTACCTTTCTGGGTAGTAGCATGATTCCACCATCATAAAAGTTCTGATCTTTGTGCACAAAATATCTAATATATGTGGTTTTTGGCATCCTCGTATGAAGTAACTGTTTTACTATTTAAAAATTTTGTAATGATCAGAACAAATAATAATCAGAGAGTGCCAGATCTGACAAATACAGTAGTTATGGTAACACACTTTATCCAAGCTGTAACAGCTTCTGTCAAGTTTCCAAACTTGTAAGAAGCCTAACATTATCATGTTGAACTTTTCTGTTGATGAATTTTTCTCAGTTTCTCAAACTGATACCAGTACACTTTTGAATAAAGTGTGGAATTGTCTAGCAGAAGTTACAAAAAGAAATAGAAGAAAAAAAAAGGAAAGAAATTCTGAAATGATTCCAATTTTAAAGTCACACCACCAGGGTTCATACAATCCTTAAAAGTACTCAGGTTTTTTGGAATCGATTTTTGGTCCTTAAAAGTCCTTAATTTTGGCTAAAATTGGCAGAAGGTCCTTAAATTTAATCATCTGTAATTTTTAAAAAATCAAAATATTTCCTCAAGCTTCTGAGAAATGGATGTATCACAATATAGGAAGGTATCATATTAAATGAATGTATGTCTCTGCATATCCTGCAGCACAAAGTGACAAACAAACAACATTTAAAAGTATGAGAATCTTGAGTAAAGATTTTCAAGTTCCTTTTCTTTTACTTTCCCCTTGTTTTCTTCCCTCCTTTTTTATGAATGGCAGCTTTTGTATGTTGTTAAAGGTAAGCAATGTATAAAAACAATAAATAAATACAGAAGGAACACAGGAAGGCTTATGTCTGATAATTATTTTACGCAAGGAAAAACTCTGCTTAAATTAGGCGAAGATAAAGGGATTGTGGATAAAAATGTTGACTGTAGGAATCACTGTAAATCTTATTCAGTGCATTTCTGTAAATAATTTTAAAAGGAGCAAGACTAAAAATAACAGTCAGAAATCGATTTTGGGAATTAACAAATATTTAAGTTACAAGGTTTTATTTCAGTTGTTGCATGACCTTACTTTTTCGCATATACTTTGTGACTTTTTTCTAAAAGAGGGGATTATTTTTTTGTAAAATTCATATTTAACTAATTTTTGAGCCAGGAAACAAATTCCATAAAAACTCATCTATTTTTTATTTATGAAATTGCAAGAAAATTGCTTTTTTATTTTTCTAAACAAAATGTATGAAAAAAATCACTCATTAGCCAAAAAGCATAAAAAAAGAGAAATATAAAAATAAAAGAAGGATAAATAAGAGAAATATAATAAATCTACTGAAGAGTAAAGAGAAATATAAAAAAATTACTACATTATAATGTTAATGTAGTGAATATCTTTTAATGTTTTACTGTAGTGTTATTGTATGCTTTTTAATGTTTGCATTTTAATGTTTGATTTCACACACATTAGTACGAGTAATAATATAGTTTTACTTAGACTGACATTTCCTATGCATTGCAGATATTGAAGTTTCCGGATGTAGGTTAATATTTTAACTCAGTCTGATATGTTATTAAAAAAAAAAAAAAAAAAAAAAATGGAACTGAAGTTTTGGATTCGCACGTTGTCATGACAACTGACCAATTTGGTTTTTCGGGGGGGGGGGGGGGCTTTTGATATTTTTTGTGTGAAAATATATGCAAACCATAATTATTATATGTATTATTTAATTTCAAAAGTCATCATCTGGTCTAATTTGATGATCAGTATATATGTAAAAATCTGTAGAGCTTTCTGTTTTTGTTAGTAAATTTTACCCCCCAGGCACAAAGATTTTTTATTGCTATCATTATTAGAATCATCTATATCTAACACAAGTTAAGCATATAATTTACGTTAAAACTTAAATATGTAGTATTTACATTTAATTATAAAGTAATGAAATATTCAGCAACATTTATATAAAGAAATTTTTTAGGAAATGTAACATGCAATGTCAAAAAGAAATTTATACTTATTATGTAAAACATAGGAGGGGGACTGTTTATTTTACAATTAATTATTATCATTTATGAATCAAAAAGCAACCTTGAATAGATGAAACACAGTAATTAAAAATACAGGATTTTAAAACGAGATGTCTGTATCGTGTACAAACAAATCATTCTACATAATATGACATATAGGCCAAACTGCTTAATAGTTAACATATTAAATACTGCTTATTCTGATGACTAACTTGAGTTTAAAAATACAATTATTGATTATATTTCAAAATATTTATTGTTTTATTTATTTGTTAAAGGCTTTAAAACAAGATATTATCAGAAGTATTACAGCCAGATGTGAAATTCACTGTGAAGATTTGTTACTTATAGAAGAAGAACAGAAAGGTAAATTTTGTCAAATAATAAAACAATTTTTATTCTTCATGATGTGTATATTAATAATAATCATGATATTTGTTTTAATTACATGAGTTTTTATGCCAATTTTCCCTTTGGTTCATATAGTAGTTTACATATTTTTATTATTGTTTACTATTCATCAGAACTATTATGCAAATATTTATTCACATGAATGTAATTACATGCATAAATTTCTGTGCAACATGATGTACATTGTTAATATAAACTATTCATTTACCTGAAATATTCCTATTCATGTAATTACATAAAAAACTATTCATTTACCTGAAATATTCCTATTCATGTAATTACATAAATTTCTCTGAAACATGGTGCATGCATAATGTAAAAATGCACTTAATTAATATTCTCATAAAGATAAAAACTGTTTTAATTCTATGTTAAATAAAACTATATATGATAGTGCAAACTTTTAGATGTTGGAGAAAAAAGAAAAAAAAAAATTTTTTTTCCCTGTGCTTCTTCTTACATCTAATTCCTGCCTTTTAAGTGTTTGTTAATTTCTGTTCTTTGAAGAATTAACTTTTGTATTATAGTTCAGTTTCTCTTATAGTATTGCAAAAGTTGTTTTTTTCAACATTAGTAAGCTAATCAGTTTCATTTAGAAGAAACTTCGGCTGATCTTTGGAATATGGTAACTGGTAGTTTGGCGACATTTTGGAGGCGATAAAGGTTACTACTTAGGACTTGGTAATAAGTGAGAAGTATAGTCCTATTACGCATTATTTGTGGAGGGAATGAGAGATCATGAGATATGTCAGTGCATTAATGGACGAATTACAGTCTTATCGAAAGGGGGAGGGAGAATTTGTAAAACTGTATTACTATATTATTTTTTATTAGCTTCATGTGTGTTGTGTGAATAGTGGAAGTGTGCGTGCCACGTAATGAAGATCTGAATTAGGTAGTTAGTATTTTTAATCATTTGAGGATATTATTTTAGCATTGTTCTAATGTAGGAGGAAATAATATATGATATTATTGGAAAATTGTTATAGCAATGATTTAGTTAATTAATTAGGATTGTATCTAATTTTATTATTTAATGTGTCTTGTCAATTTTAATCAGTGTTTTTAATTTATTATTTTAATTTAATGATCGTGATTTTTGAGTTTATTTGTAGTATTTGGAATTTGATAAATAGTTGATATTTCATTTTTTGTGAAATTTTTCTAATTTAGATAAAAAAGAGTGTACATGGTATAGAAAGATTGGCGCAATGCCATTTTGTGCAATTCTGGGATGTTTTTAAGTAAAAATAAGTCGACGTTACAGGTTTGGATATTTTAATAATAATAGTTTTTTGTGAATTAAATGTTGTAGGATTGGTATCGTTTCATTGAAGTAAACGTGATGAAAAATTGAATATTTGACACTAATATGTAACCATTGTAATTTTGCGGTATGAATTCGTGGTGACGTTATAATATGATTAGATATTTAGAGGTAAAGTTTTTGGCATTTTATTTATTTACCTCTATTTTTATTATATTATAAAAATAGAGGGTTGCTGTAGCAGAGTTGGTCGCCAAATTTTTGCCAAAAAATCACCAAGTTACCATAATCCAAAGATCAACCGAAACTTCTTATAAAAAGCAACGATATATTGTATATTGCAGTGAAAGGAATTGTAGATATATGCTTATGGAACACAGGCAAAATTATGTAATCTATTTATGTGACTCTTGCTATTGTAGATTAGTGATATTTTAAAGATAGTTTGAACATAAAGTTAAGATGTTAAGCATTTTTGAGCAAAAGTATTATATTAGTAAGTTCAAAATATTCATATTGACTTCAAAGGAGAGATCTGTTTTGGGATGTAAAAAGATAGCGTAATTTAAATCATATGAAAGCATTTTAGAATTTCTTTTGAGTCCCAAGGGATGTTTTATAATCTTTCTAAATTATTAAAATTTAATTTTCATACAAATAATTTGAGATTTTTTTTCCCTTTTAGATCCATTAGTAGTGCATGAATTGCCTCGTCGAGTGTTTGCTCCTTTACCTCAAGGAGATATTTGTGTTTGTGACTACCAGTTTCACAGTGATACAGCTGTTGATTCACTTGATGCATTTAGGGAACTACTTAATTTGGAACTCACTGAAGATGATATTGATACTTCGTGTGAAGTTTCACCAAGTATGATATTTCTTATCCTTAAACTAAATTTAGTTATACGGCTAAGCATTTTTTTTTTTTTAAATTATGATATTTTCTGGTGTAGATTCAACTTAAAATGAAACTTCTGAAATTGATAAATCGTACATGTAGAGAAAAGCCAAAAACAGTTCTTTTCAAACCTTGAATTTTTCATCATTCAGATATTTTAAGAAAACCTTCATTTTATACATTGTTACTTTATGCTGGATATTTTGTCATATTTGTATGTACTTAGTGTCTTCTGAAATGTAGCCATTCACCTAGTAAATATTTCGGTTTTCCTTCAACTGAGAGAATGCTTAAATGCTTTCTGGTTTGGGTTCCAGAAGTTGCTTATAACTATACAGGGAGATCTAATGTAGTACTTCCCTTGCAGCAAGAGATTCCTAATGCTGGTGTAGCATCTTTGATTTCAGTAGTCAGTCCTATAAAATTCCATAGGTGGTGGTGTTCGGAATTACTGTCAGCATTTAATCCATGCGGTTATACTTTTCATAGGATATTTCTCTAACCAGCCGACCCCAATCCATCATAAGTAGCATTGTCTATTGCTACCATTTGCTATTCTAAAAGGTGAGAGAGCAATTTTAGAAGTGTTATTACAGTATGAATGTTTGTAGCCCCTAACAGCCTCAGTGCATGACAGCTATCACATAGGAATTTATAATAGCTGCCAACAGAAGCATTCGTTTGCCACTTAGGTATCCCCGCCTACTAAAATAGCATTAATCATGCATGAAGAATGCAAAGCATTGTATCAGCACCAAACATTCACATGCGTGTTGACATGGTGTAATAAAATCTTCAATTCATTGAATCACCATATGCTTTTGCAACTGCTGTCACTATGCTTTAGATGTAGATGAAATGAAATTGGTGGTGATATCTATTAAGAACTGATTACAAGAGAATCATCTGCTGCAGAAATTAATAGTACTGGTATCTGCCCTTAATAATGTTTAGTAATTTGAAATATCACAAAACTATGGAAGCAGTGAAGATATAGTGGTACGGATTTGGTGTTTAAATAGCTAATGTTAGTTGAATTATAAATTAAATTGTTTATTCCCCATGAAGTGCAGCGCGTGACAAAGGAAAGCTAACCCGGAAAATTAAAAATACAAGGCATGTGCATTTAACATTTAATCATAAATAAATTCTGTTTTTGATTTCAGAAAGTTTCCAGAAAATTCTCGGCGCAATTTAAATTCTTTAAAAAAAAGGAAAACCTCTCAATTCGTATTTATTAGTTTGTTTGTTGTTTAAGAGTTTTAGAAACTGCTCTTGTTGACTGTAGCGAATTCGCAGATTAGCTTTCTTTAGCTGTTTTGAATTAAGTTCTCTGGAATGTTTGAGTAGTTAAAAGATAACTACTGTAAGATACTGTAACACTGCACGAATATCTGAGGAAATTTAAGCATTTTTATTGTGATAATAAATTTTGTTCATTTTTCATCGGACTTGTGTTTTCAATTCATAATGAACCCGTAGGCACTCAACAATATGACTATAAAGAAATATGCTTAATGTTTTCTTGTTAAGTGATTAATTGTTATATTAACTTAGTTTTAGCAAGAAAGAAACAACAACAACAACAAAAAAAAATATCTCAAGAGAGTTAATTAATGAACTCTTACCATGAATCTCAAATTTTTGTCATTTCATCTTGATTTCTTTTAAAATAATAGAAATCAAGAGGAAATAAAATGACAAAAATTTGAAAAGTTCATGCTAGGAGTAATAATTTAAAATACTAAAATGTGTGTTAAGTAATGAAATAATAAATTGCAGTAATTTAACATAATGGTAAATGCAAGTTGAATAGTGATGGTTGTATTTCAGTTTTTTTTCTCTCACCCCTTCCCTAATATAGCTACTAGCAATTTAATATTACCAGAAGTAATGGAAGATAGACTCTCTGAATTTGGAGACACTCCTGCACATTCCTCTCTTAATATGTATGGTAAGTAAGCATCTCACTTTTTATTCATGTAAAACATTAAAAAAAATTAGATGCAAGTAAACATTTTGTAAAAAATGTAACTTTTTGCAAATTAAATTAGTTTTTATCTTTTTTTTTTTGAATATATCATTAAGCAACACAACATTGGATACATCATATTATATTTTTTTATTCCCCCTTTTCTTTTTGAAAGTGCAGTGAATGCAATCATTTAGGCAACTGCTGTAGATTTGTGCTTGATTATTATGAAAGGATTTGAAATCGCAGGAATGTTATGAAAGTATCACAAGTTAAATAGACCATAAATTTATGCCACCTTGAAAACATGAATATCTTTGAAATAAGAATCAGCTTTAATTTCATATACATTGATATCCCGAAGAGTTACTAATTAAAAATGATTAATCCAAAGAAAAAATTTGTATTGTTTTTATCTTGTGAATTTTCTAAGTACATACATAATTTTTATGACATTCAAATTTATAATGTAAAACATATCCTTCTATCAATGTCTCCATTATTTCTCATTGCATGTAACAAATATCTGTCCAAATTTAAATTTCAGTTTAGTATCTGAAGAAACATTTTGGTTCATACAGTTAAACTCACAGTTGCATTTACCTACCTTGACATTTATAAATATGCGCATATTGTTATTAATATTCTCATGTCTTCCAGTTGAAGTTTTGTTTCACGATTTAGAATTTTTGCAGTATTTCTAAAACTTCCCTTACAACTTGATAGTTCTTGATAATTTGTTAGATTTTGTAACTTATTAGTACATTATTTTTTTTTTAATATTTGAATGATATAAGTTCCTGAATATGTATTTCTGAAATTGATGCTGTGTATGTTTAACAGTTTTTATCTTTTCTCTAGTTCCCATTGCTGGTGTTGCAATTACCATTGCTGTAGCTATGTTTTCTTATCTCTTTGCTTCTCAAAGCAATTGATTTATACATTCCACCAAACTGAAGAGAATTTTGCATGTCTGTAACCAGTTACAGTGTTCATAGAAAATATCTCCTTACATTTTTTATAAATGTACAAATGTCTCCTTGCAAACTTTTCCAAGAATTAAAATACTTGCCTTCCTAATGAATTCTTATTTATTCATTTTAATGAAGAGTTTTAGCTTATATATGTTATTTTATATCATATGTTAATAAAATTATTCTAAATTAAAAAGTATGGTAATTTGTAATATGGCCATTTTTTTTCCCAATATTTATTCGAAACATATACATGTCAGATGGTATTAGAAAGTTTCTAGACTAGATTTTAAAAACGATATTTTTGTCTTAATTGATCATTGTTTGCTTCAGAATAATTCTGTTAGGAATATATAAAGCAATAACATTTTCCCCTTAACTGACAATTCGAAATTGCTCTGATAGGAGTATGGAAGCAGTCACTCATTCTACACAGCAAAAGAACCACAAGATGCTCTTTTCCTGTTGGTTGTTCAGTACCATCTGTATTGTTGAAATATCTCACTTTCAGTTTAATTGTGTGGAACAAGGCAAAGACACAGTAAACAGTTCATGCTGGTATAAAGATTATGGGAGGTTATTATAATATTACTGGGGAGGGAAGAATGTTTTGTATTAAGGAGCCATAAGTGGATTTACTGATGAATTACTGTCTTTATTGCATAGTAAGGTGTGTGATAAAAGAAAACTGATCACAGTTACTGTATTCTATTGGTTTCTTTTACTACATAATCCCTCTCAATAACTTAAACTACATTTTCGAGATTTTGCTGATAATTGGTTGCTTGTTATATTGAGTTTACAATTTACTAGCATTTAATTACACATGCCTATGGAAAATCTAAAATCTTTATAAGAACCACTGTTCTGTCTGATGAATTTGAAGCTATGTTTTTCATAGATACAGTACTTGAATATATGGTAAGAGATCATAGAACAGTCCTAATCTAACAATAGTTGGTCAGCATTGTTAAGCTTCATTTACCTTTATAATATATTTCAGTGGTTCATGGGGGTATGCTAAGCCAGGGCTAAAGAAAGAGAAGGGCTGGGTCATCCCTTTGAGAAGAACGATGCCAACACGAACCCCTCTTGGGGAGCATACCGGGTGTTATGTGACGTCACTGGGTTCGTCCTGTCGTCGACTGACCAGAGCATCAATGCAAAAGATGAATCTTTAGTTGGATTCTCTTTCTTTACCCTGTTAGTTTCAGAGAAAGAGTTTTTTTTTTTTTTTTGCTGAAAGTATAACTGATGATACTTTTAAAGGGATTTGTATTTAGAAAGTTCTTGTGGGTAGCAATACGTATCATAATACGAAAGAAAGCGTGGTATTTCATAGATTCCGTAAAAAATTTCAGGGTAACGAAGCAAGGGTTGCATAGGGTTGAAGAACGATATTGTTAACACAGAGTGCTCAAACAGGGTCGTAGCGGTTTATAAGTGCTTATAAGTCCTTATATTTGAAAATAAAATAGAAAGGCCCTTATAGGGCTTACTTTTCTTAAAGACATTTTTTTTTGTGCTTGTATTTTTTGCTTTAAGTGCTTTTTTTTTAATGAACGTGCATTTCGCCGTAACAAAGCCGAAAAATAACAACTTCGCCTAATATGGAATGTCAGATGGTGAGTCATACTCTCGGAAATAGTTTTCCCCCTTCTCTCATTAACATACCTTGGTGTGCACGAAGAGTACAGACAGGTGCCCGTCTTCTATTGTCAAAGAATGGAAGCAGTAGAAAAATTAGCTATATTCGGCATTCTTTTCTCCACCCAAATACTACACACTTGAATTTATATCAGATCTTAAAAAGATTTGCATTCTCGTTCTGCTTGTCTTTATATTCGGTTTATTATGATCGTTATGCTTATCTTATGAGCATATGTGAATGTTTATAACAACATAGTTGCAGCAACTGCTGAAGTATAGTAAACTTCCAAATGGTTTGTGTTTTATACAGACTCGCTTTCTAAGGAATAATATTCGAAGGCTTAAATAAAGGAAAGTAATCGAATAGCAAATAGTTTATATTTTTTGGCCAATACTAAAATACGAGGTTGGGATGTCTCCCTTTCTCCAAAATCTTGAATATTGAAACTGTTACATTCGCTGCAAAACAAGAACGACCTTTTTTTGGGGGGGGGGTCACTTCCAATCTGGATTGAATAGGACTAATTCTGCGGTCTACCAACCCAAGGAAAATGATTCATCCGGAATTTAACGCCGTCTGTTGAAATTAGAATGAAAAACACTCCAGTTATTAGTTCTTTTTTTTCTATACCGGCAGTTTGCATTCCGATTGCGAATATACGTAGGGAAGAATTACGGCGCACATATTGGGCAATAGCGTTTGCGATATTTTGCAGAGATAATTAATTTATGTTCAGTCCGAGATTTGTTTATGAGCACTTAAAAGAGTTTTACTGTCCTTACTAAAGGAAATTTTTTTAGTTTGGTGGCTTATTTTATATGATGCACATATTGAAATGTCAAAGCATTTATTAGCGGAAAAAATCTAAAGAGCGGCTACAGTCTACCCCCCTTCGCTCCTCAAGTTCGCTCGGACTGTCCAAATCGCCAATTTCCAAGCGAGTTATTTAAGCTGTAATGTTAAAGATGACTGCATGAAGCAAATTTCTGTCTTCTGATTTCAGAAATGTTCCTCTTTTTTACTTACATTACTTTGCTGCAATATCTGTTAAGAGAAACTGATATACAATGAAAATTTAGAAAATTCAGAATTTGATTTAATTATTTAAATAGCATATGAGTGGGAAAATAAATTGTTTAATATTAGGTTCCAAGCGAATACAATAAATGCTTTATTATTATTTATTTCTCTATTTGAACTGAAATTTCATCATTATCTTGTAATATAGTTTAGTTCTTCATAGTTTTTTTTCTCTCATTCTAACTAGTCTGTAAATTGAACTATTATTTAAAATTAAAAACCAAAAAGTAATTATTTTCCATGTTGAGGTATTACTTATTCTCTCTTAATAAGTACTCTTCATATTTTAAATACAAGTCTAATTTTTAAGGTTATGCAGTTTATGATGTAATTAGCATTGCTTATTTTTTTTCTTAAAAGTGCTTGAAAAGTGCTTAGAGGTGCTTATTTTTTTAACTAAAATGGGCTATGAACCCTGTCAAATATGTACAATCACTTCATGAATCTGATTACGAGGATGATATGAAAAATAGGTTGCTAGGAGTACCGACAAAAAATCTGAAATCAACTGCTATTCCAACTACTTGTTCCTCCTTATTTATTTATCAGAATACCCCAAGGCAGCAAAAACAAAAAAGAAAAAAATTTACAAGTGCATTTGAAAGAATTCAGAATTTAAATCCTAAAAAGGCATGTCTAGAACTTCAAACGATAAAATAATAGCTGTGAGGACTCACTGAAATAATATACTCAGAGTGTTGTAACTGTTCCAACCTCCAGAAAAATGTGATGTTTCATCACAAAACTATCAGCTCTTGAGAATAGGCTTCTGTTTTTAGACTGAGAAAAGCAGATTTAAAAACTATCTCCCAGCAAAAAGAAAAAGATTAAAAGAATAGAAAACTAATATTGTAAAAGTTCAGAACTGAGGAAAGAAATAAAAAAGGTGAACAAGAAAATGAAAATAATAAAAGAAAAGTATGTTCAAACATATTTACCGAAACTCAAATAAATGCCTTAATAAAAAACGAATAAATGGTCTCAAGAAGACATTTCAAGGCATAGTAATCAGGTCATTATCCGTAAAGTCCTACGACTTCTGAAAGAAATGGGTATTCGCTTCAAGTGCAAGTACCAAAAGATGGTGCTCAGATTCAGTTGCATTCTGGATTTTAAATGATGTACGTTATTGATAAAAACCTTGCCAAAATGCACTGACGAAGAAAGTATGCATATTAAGTTTCGATGAATTCAAAGATTCAAGACTCTGTTAGATCAGAATTAACAGATATTAGGTCCTTTTAAAAAGACTCAATTTGTATTGGTTTGAGGACTCATTTCGCAATGGAAACAGCCCATTTATTTTTATTTGATCTAAATGAAGGAAAATCTTCTGTCTTCCTTCCATTTTGTTTGCACTTGAATGTCTGGGCTTCAAGTCAAAGCAATTGTATCTCTGCATGGGAGGTAGTCAACCCTTGGAAAGAATTACAATTTCACAGATAAATCTTTCCTTTCAGTCCAAGTTCAGCACCAAATATGGTTTCGCTGATATGCCGCTTGCATAAGCTTTGAGAACCATTTTCTTGATAGGTTTTATGCTCGGAAATGGGACAATTAAAACAAAGACGTATATATGAAGTACTCTCAATAAGATATGGAGAAATTAAACTGTGCTATAAACTGAAACCTCAATTTATTTGTAAAAGGAACGAGAGACGAAAGTAGGATCAGCAAAAGCATTATTTCTTCCACAATGGCTAAAGCATTTGCTTTGACTGGTAATGCTGGCAACAAGTAATTGTTTTTTCAAGCGGTTGATGATTTTTTTGGCATTATGAATAGTAGTGTACCATTACCCCCTAGCAAAAGCCTTTAAAATCTGCTTTTGGGCCTAGAAAGCTATTATGAAGTACAAAAAGAAAAATTAAATGAGATCAAGCAAATGATTTTGATCTCAGAGTATGCGGAAGAAGACAATGCTACTTTTCAGAAAGGTATTATCATATCGATAAATTTGCTTTTTGGTTTATTGACGACCATAAAATCTATAAATGTGAAATATATTTTAACATCAAGACTGACTCAAGATGTATTAAAAGCTGTTCAGACAGATTCGGGATCTAGGGCGTTTAGACCATCCGTCTCCATCAGACGTAATAATTCGCCTGAAAGGTTGCTATTGGCAAACAATTGCCTAAATTGTCGTTAAAGGCAAATGTAATGACTGTGAAGATGTGCAGAAAGTTGAAGCATATTTGACAAAAGAGCTGTTAGAAACAGCTTTTTCTTCCAATGAAAAAGCACAAATGTTTGAGTCTTCCTTATACGAAGATGATCCAATTAATTATGAAGACATCTATGATGAATGTATGTCACTTCCTTGATAAACCGAAATTTATGATTCAATGAAAGATATATCTGCATACGAACAAGAATTGCTCGCTTATGTAGCAGGTTATATTGCATATCGTGTGAAAGATAAAGATCCTACCTTGGGTGAAATATTAAAAAAATTCGTAGATATT